ACAACAATTTTCAGGCCAATATCCCTGATAAACCTCGATGTGAAAATTCACAATAAAACACTGGCAAACCCAATCCAGCAGCACATCAAAAAGCGTATCCGACACGATCAAGTCGGCTTCATCCTGAGATGCAAGACTGGTTCAACATACACCAATCATTAATCATAATCTATCATGTAAACAGAACCAATGACAAAAACCACATAATTATCTCAATAGATGCAGAAAAGGCCGTTGATAAAATTCAACACCCCTTCATGCTAAAAACACTCAATAAGCTAGGTATTGATGGAACATTTCTCAAAATAATAAGAGCTATTTATGACAGATCCATGGCCAATATGATACTGAATGGGCAAATGCTGGAAGCATTCCCTTTGAAACAGGCGCAAGACAAGGATGCCCTCTCTCATGACTCCTATTCAACATAGTATTGAAGGTTCTAGTCAGTGCAATTAGGCAAGAGAAAGGAAGAAAGGAAGTCAAATTGTCTCTGTTTGCAAATGACATGATTGGATATTTAGAAAACCCCATCATCTCACCCCAAAACTCATTAAGGTGATAAGCAACTTCAGCAAAGTCTCAGGATACAAAGTCAGTGTGCAAAAATAGCAAGCATTCTTATACATCAATAATAGACAAAGAGAGAGCCAAATCATGAGTGAACTGCCATTCACAAGTGGTACAAAGAGGATTAAAAACCTAGGAATAAACTTACAAGGGAATAGGAAGGAACCTCTCAAAGGAAATACAAACCCTCCTCAAGAATAAGAGAGAACACAAACAAATGAAAACATTCCATGCTCATAGATTGGAGAAATCAATACATGAACATGGCCATAACTGCTCAAAGTAACTGTTATAGATTCATATGTTATTCCATAAGCTACCATTGACGCTTTTTATAGAAATTAGAAAAAAATAACTTTAAAGTTTTCATATGAACCAAAAAGAGGCCCTTATAGCAGGACAATCCTAATCCAAAAAGAACAAGCTGGGAGGCCATTGTGGCTACATGACTTCGAAAAACTATAAACAAGGCTACAGTAACCAAAACAGCATGGTACTGGTACCAGAACAGATATATAGACCAATGGAACAGAACAGAGGCCTCAGAAATAACACCACACATCTACAACCATCTGATCTTTGACAAACCAGACAAAACAAGCAATGGGTAAAGGATTCTCTATTTAATAAATGGTGTTGGGAAAACAGTCTAGCCATATGCAGAAAACTGAAACTGGACCCCTTCCCTACTCTTTACACAAAAATTAACCCAAGATGAATTAACGAGTGAAATATAAGACCCAAAACCATAAAAACCCTAGAAGAAAACCTAGGCAATACCATTCAGGACATAGGCATTGGCAAGGCTTCGTGACTAAAACACCAAAAGCAATGGCAACAAAAGCCAAAATTGACAAATGGGATCTAACTAAACTAAAGAGCTTCTGCACAGCAAAAGAAATTGACATCAGAGTGAACAGACAACTTACAGAATGGGAGAAAAGTTTTGCAATCTATCCACCTGACAAAGGGCTAATATCCAGAATCTACAATGAACTTAAACAAATTTATAAGAAAAAAGCAAAAAACAAAAAACGAGTCCTTCAAAAAGTGAGTGAAGGATATGTGCAGACACTTCTCAAAATAAGACATTTATGCAGTCAACAAACATATTAAAAAAAGCTCATCGTCACTGGTCACTAGAGAAATGCAAATCAAAACGACAAAGAGCTACCATCTCACACCAGTTAGAATGACAATCATTAAGAAGTCAGGAAACAACAGATACTGGAGACGACGTGGAGAAATAGGAACACTTTTTCATTGTTGGTGGGAGTTTAAATTAATTCAGCCACTGGAAGATAGTGTGGTGATTCCTCATGGATTTAGAACCAGAAATACCATTTGATCCAGAAATCCCATTCCTGGATATCTACCCAAAGGATTATAAATGATTCTATTATAAAGACAGATGCACACATATGCTTATTGCAGCACTATTTACAATAGGAAAGACTCGGAACCAACCCAAATGCCCATCAGTGATAGATTGTGTTGGGGAAAAGCTGAGGGTGGGGAAAAAGCTGAGGCAGGTCTTGCCTGTCTGACATAATGTAAAAGAGTCTTGGAACATGTCTGGGGTCCAGGGTCTAAAACCCCTCATGGTCTTTGGAACACCAAACTCAGTGCCAAAGGGTGATGTGCATAAGGCTGTCCTGCTGCACCACAATCTAAGCCCAGGGCATAAAACCCCTTGTGGCTTGGATGGAATCCAGGGCTCAGGGCATAAAACACCTCATGGCCTCTGGAATGTGTCTAAACCTGCTGGCTCCTTGCTTCTAGCATTTCCAGGTTCAAAGATCAATTGTATCTGAAATGAGAAGAACATGTTTCCCATTGTCTCTAATAGCAGGACATGTTCCATATGCTTCAAAGAAAATGCTAAACCATCACAGCTGTAGATCACGCGCTTAACACACCACTTCCTTTCAACCCCTACATCCTCACCACCTGCTTCTTTGTTTGATCACCTATAAATAGTGCGGGCTTCCAGAGCTCGGGTTTTCACAGCCTTCATACGAACGTTGGCCCTGTGGTCCTACTTTATGCACTCTTAACTTATCTTGTCTCATTCCTTTGACTCTGCTGGGCTTCATAGCCCCCATGGCCTGGTGTTGGGTCTGATCGCCCCAACAGACTGGATAAAGAAAATGTGGCACATATACATCATGGAATACTATGCAACCATTAAAAAGAATGAGTTATTGTCTTTTGCAGGGACATGGATGACGCTGAAAGACATTATCCTCAGCAAACTAACACTGGAACAGAAAACCAAACACTGCACGTTCTCACTCATAAGTGGGAGTTGAACAATGGGAACACATGGACCCAGGGAGGGGAACATCATACACCAGCATCTGCCAGGGAGTGGCGGCAAGGGGAGGGAAAGCATTAGGAGAAGTACCTAATACATGCGGGGCTTAAAACCTAGACAATGCATTAATGGGAGTGGCAAACCACCATGGCACATGTGTACATATGTAACAAACCTGCAGGTTCTGCACATGTATCCCAGAACTTACACACACACACACACACACACACACACACACACGGGGAATTTGGACAAAACAAATTTATAAAGGAACCTAGGTATCCATCTTCAGATGAATGGATAAAGAAAATGTAGTATGTATTCACAATGGAATGCTATTCAGCCCTCAAGAATGGGGGAAATATTTTCATTTTTGACAACATGGATCAACCTGAACAACATAACACTAAGTCAGTAAGCTAGGCTCAAAAAAGACAAATACTAAGTGATCTCACTTATATGTGGAATCTAGAAAAGTTGAACTCATAGAAGTAGAGAGTAGAATGATGGTTACCAGAGGTATGGGGATAAGAACGGGTGGGAAAAGAGATGTTGATCAAAGAATAGAAAGTTTTTTTTAGATAGGAGGAATAAGTATTACAGATCTATTGCACACAATGGAGCCAATAATAAATAATAGTGTGTTATATATTTCAAAATTGCTTAAAATTGATTTTACAAGTTTTCACCACACAAGAAAATAAATATATCAAGTGTTGGGTTTGTTAATTAGCCTGATTTAATCATTTTACATTATCAACATATCTAAAACATCATATTGTAGTCCATAAATACATACAATATTATTTGTTAATTCAAAATAAAATTAACAAAATTTCTTGCAATAGTTTTTGGTCTGGGAGAAGTAGCAGTATATAATTTTTCAACATCATTTTTCTTTCTTGGGCTAGGATCTTTTAGTTGAAAGAAATCAAAACTTCAATGCCATTGGACACTTCATGAAGATGTGTCAAGATAAGATCCCATTCCTATTTCCCTCTGTGATGATGTCACTGATCTGTTCTTGGAATTGGAAGAGGAATCAAGAAAGAACAGTAACAGAAAAGTGTAGTATTTGGCCTCTTGACAGGAAGAGCTTCTTTTATTTATTCACTTTAAAATGTTATTCATACATATTTGTGGAGTACAATGTGGTGTTTTGATGCTCGTATACACTATGTAATGATCAAACCAGGATGATTAGCATATCATCACCTTAAACATTTATCATTTCTTTGTGATGAGGACATTCAAAAACCTCTCTTCTAGCTATTTTGAAATACGCGATACATTAGCATTTATTCTAGTTATCCTCCTATGTCATAGAAAAATATGTCAAGAGAACAATGAGAGATGTAAATAATAATGGTTCTTTAGAGCCACCTAAGGTTTAGTATCGCTCCAAGAATCAAACTAAACCTTGAAATAAAACAAATGACTCCTTTAAAAGCTCAGTGTCTCTTTGGAAGTATTGACTGTTATATGGCCCATTTTGCCACATGTTCAGATATTTTCCCAGAGTTCACACCAACTGACTGGTCAAGTAGCTGTGGGTGTTAGTATTTGAGAAAATATTTCCCTGCAAGGCTTCTGCTACATTTAGAATAAAGTCCAGATTCTTTGCCTTCACCTGGCCCTGAGAAGGCTCTGATCTATGTCTCCTACTCCTCTCTGCTCACTGCCTCCTGCTGTGCTCCTGTCTGTCATTGGAGGGCTTTGTGGGTTTTATCCATCAGGTTGACAGGGCCAGCCCCTTCGTCATGTCAGAGGGGCCTGATGACTCTGTGTGATAACTCATTTACTACTTTTCTCCCTGAATTCATCACTGCCCACTATCTGACCAGATAGTGTGTACTAATGTTTTTATGGCTCACACCAGCATGTGGGCTCCACAGGGTAAAAGATTATACCTGCTTGTCCATCATTTCACCTGATGTAACAAGAACCATATCACATAGGAAGGGTTTGATACATCCCTTAATTAATAATTAATTTAATTATTTAATTAAATCAATTAAAATCAAGTTAGTTTTAATTAATACATACCTTAAATTAATATGGTATGTATTGAACCCTTCCTATATGATATGGTTCTTGTTAATTAAGGTGAATCAACTTCAGCAGCCTTCTAATTGCTTTTGCTTGGAGAAAATTTTCCAAATGCCTTTTCTTGCAGAAATTCTGGAGGCTATTTTTTTTAGCTTGGTGTTTTCCTTTCACAATTGTGGTTTGTTGTTTTTGTACAAAGATTGATCAATGTGTTTAATTTCTGCAGAATATACTAGGTCATATTATATTTTCTAGTAAATAAGGATTTACTGCATCGATGATTGCTTAATATCAAAGTAATGGTAGAATCTCCAAAAAAAAAATCAAAACCAAGCCACAAAAATTAATTTTAGTGCTCATATTCAGAGCAGAAAAAAATTATAGTTTTTTTTTTAATTCAAGGAGAAAACCTGATACTAGTGGAAAAAATGAGTGAGATGCATCACAGACTGAAGAGTCTGCCTCCCGGAATGAGCAAAAACCCATTTGAAGCAGTAAAAGGAAATTCTAAGTAATGATCTGTTAACTACTATCTGCTAATATTTTCCCTGGATCTGTAATGTGGCATGAACACGAGTTCCTTAAACTTGCATTGCATACCAATAAACATAAATAAATTACCACAAATAAATGTCCCCTGTATTGCATGCCATAGCACTTCATTCTGTGGGGGCACCCAGGCCAAAATGATGAGGATCTTGTTCAGAGACTGGGTGACATGAATCAAAGCCTGATTCAAAGAAAACTGGCTTCTAAGTTGTGTTCTTCCCTTCCTGGCTCTCTGACCTAAGACATTTTTCTTGTTTGTTTGTTTTGCCTCACCAAGCCTCAAAGTGCTCACTCAACATGGAATAAATATCAGAATCATAGTGTTGTAGTGAAGGTTAAGTTATATATGTGGGAAATGCATTTACAATTACTAAATATTGGTTAGCCTTATAATTCTAATTATTATAATTTTTAAAATATTCTATGAGCTTCAATTTAAAATAAGACACAGACACAGATGTGAATAAGTGTTAATAAAATGTGATCATAAGTACAACAGGAGTAGAAGTGTGGGGGAAAGAGATCTCAACTGTGCATAAGAGAAGATGGGATGTAAATTTTGAGTTATGTTTACTGATTATGTGGGATTCAGATTGATAGTCATGAGCTATATAAAGGAGAACTTCCCAGAAGTGAGAAATGGTCTGTAATAAGGTTCAGATGGGCAGGGAAATAGAGGGCTATAGAGAAAAGCGGGAGGTCTAGAGTGACTGTGGTATTGAGTGTGAGTGATAGAAACAGGTAAAGGGAGACATAATGCACGCTTTAAAAGCATGGGGATATGAGTTTAAGGTTCCAAAATTTAGATAATCCAACAGGAATCACAGATTACAGAATGATAAGATCAAATGTACGTTTAGGGAAATAACTCGAATGGCAAAGAGTACACTATATTCTCAGGAAGAACTGGACTCAAGACATGAAAACACTTAAGGTAGTAAGAAACTAGAAAAGGATATTGGGAGCTTGAATTTGGGCAATAAATGAAAGGGGTATATTAATATAAGTTTCAATTTTTTTTCCACAAAAATCAGAACCCTTCTATACCTCCAACTATTGATAGACTTGAAGTCACTTAAGTGAATTAGTAACACAACCGTAGTAAAACTTTTGTTAAACACAACGTTCCATTTAGTAACATACAGTAACATAGGATTTCATCCTGTGCAAAGTCATATATATATTTTACACATCAAAGCTGAAGCCTGAGGTCCCAGTATCCATTTTATATGTTGCATGTTGTCTGTACCCTGTCACTGTCTCCATGCCTTTATGTAAATAATTTCTTTAAGTACAACTTTGATAAAATTATTATATAGTGATTTTATTAATTTGTATGTATATATAAATGTGGGGTTTTCTTATATTCATATTCAGGTTATTTAATCTCTGTGTTTTTATTGAAATCAGCAAAATCGTAAGTCAGATAAGCTCTCCCTGAATAGTTTTATTAAAGGATGTTAGGATAAACTGGACTCCAAATGTTAATTGCAATAAATATGCATATGCTAAAAATGAGCCAACAGATAAAGAAACACATAAACACTACCTTAGCATGAGTGTTTTACTTGTTAATTTTCAGTTCATCAGCAATATTGTATATACCAAAAATATGTTTGCATACACCATACATGCACACACATACGCATATATAACTTCTGAAAACTACTGATTGGGGATGCTCTAAGGCTGTGCTGTCCAACACTGTAGACACTGACTAGGCACTTGAGATATGCTTTGTCCAAGCTGCACTGCACTCTAGCATAAAACAAACACAAGACTTTGAAGACTTAGAATGCAAACAGAGTAAAAGGCAACATTAACAAATTTGTGTTATTACCTGAAGAAATTCTATGTCAATATATGAGTATAAATATTATCACAGTAATAGTAATATAGGTACAAACATACAGTATAACATATTGCATATAATTTATTGAAATAGTATGCTATGTAATTAACATCAATATTGTTAATATTAATTATAACATTCTTTTGAATTAAATATATTATTTAAATTTATTTGACTGCTTAAATGTACCTACTAGAAAATTTTAAATTATGTTGTATTTCTATTAGATTACCCTGTTCTAGCATGTTCAAATCAACTTGGAAAGAGGAAATACAAAGGGAGTAGGGATGGCCATGATTATTCTTTCAGGAAAGAGAATACCCCAAACACTCTTCTCACAGCCCCCAGGACTTCCTTATTCCTCAGGCTGTAGATAATGGGATTGAGCATGGGGGTAAGGATGGTGTAGAAAACTGCCAGGATCTTGTCTTCAGCTGGTGAGCGGAAATTCCTGGGCCGAAGATAGGTGTAGACAAAAGGTGCATAGTAAAAGACCACAACAGTTAAATGTGTTGATATGGTGGTGAAGGCCTTTATTCTTCCCTCCTTTGAACGCATATGATAGACAGCAGATAGGACTCGGCCATAGGAAGCAGTGATGCCAATGAAAGGAAAAAGGAGATAGAGGCTTGTACTTACAAAAACCATATATTCATAGACCCAAGTATCTGTACAGGCAATAAGCAGCATGGCTGGGACATCGCAGAAGAAATGGTCAATGGCTCTAGACCTGCAGTAAGGAATATGAAGGGCATAGACTGTGTGTGCCAAGGAGTTGATGGACCCCAGGGTCCAAGAGCCTACGATCGTCTTCACACACATCATTTTACTCATGCGGAGGGGGTAATGCAGAGGGTGGCAGATGGCCACATAACGGTCGTAGGCCATGGAGGTCAGCAGTAAGCCTTCAGAACACGCCATGGTGAGGAAGAAGAAGCTTTGCACACCACATCCCAGGAAGGAGATGCCTTTCTGGCCAGAGAGGAAGTTGTACGCCATCTTGGGGACGGTGGTGGAGATGTGCATCAGGTCCATGAGGGAGAGCTGGCTGAGAAGAAAGTACATGGGTGTGTGGAGACGAGGATCCACGTGGATGAGGTGAATCATGGCCGAGTTACCCACCGAGGCCAGAAAGAATATGAGGATGATAAGGCACAAGAGGAATATGCCAGTTTGATTTGGGGGAAGCAGACCCAACAAAATGAAATCATTTGAAGTGTGATTCCATTTCTCCATGAAAACGTTCTGCTGTAATGGTTGAAAGAGAAACAGAAACAAAAGCAAAGCAGAAAACATGAAATGAAACACAACAGAAAAACAAAAAGGAACTGAGTTTATCAATGTTTGTTTAGAATGAGTTGTTTCTTCACTAACACTGCAGGGTTTTTTTAAAATCAATTTTTATATCTGAATGGAATGTTACCTTTCCAGTTGTTTCTGGTAAGCATCTCAGCATGTCATACATATATATGTTGTCTTTCAGTACAAAGTCTACCTCTTCAGGCAGCAAAGATAGGGACGATAACTAAAGCATTCCTTTCTAGATAACTCCTGGCCGGCCAAATCACTCATGAGTTATCAACAAGTCACAGGAACTGAGGAAGGCAGGAATACCTACATTCCCCAATGTTTTAATCTAATAGGGCATAATTACAATAGAAACTGGCATGTAGGACTCAGAAACTTTCTATATGCTTAAATTATAAGTACTGAATTACCTAGCCCTCTTCTTTATCTTTAAGTTCTGGTCTTTCCTCCTCAGCTGACACTACTCCAGCCAGATAAACCTTGTTCCTCTCCTTGATACTCTGCCTTTCATGTTCCTGACAGGCACTTCTGTGCCTTTCTTGAAAATGTGCACAGCCTCCAAATCACTCCTTGAATTGTAAGGGTTTTGTATGTCCGATGAGATCCACCTTACTTGTAAAATATTATTTAAATATTCTCTCTTCCCTAATGATGTTTTCATGTTTTGAAAACCTACAGAACTCAAAATCAAATGCACTGATATTCACAAACAATATTATTTTCTTCATGTAAGTAAATTGCACATAATAAAGGCCACAGATTCCATAATAGGTTTTTTTAAAAAAATCGTATTTGCCACAGTTGCAAGCAATAACTAGTCTCATAATGGAAATGTAACAGAGAAATAAATATTACAAAATGTAAATACGTGTGTGTGTCTGTGTGTGTATGTTAATATCTACCTATTATCTATCTATACTATATATAGGAGTCTTTGAGGTGCCATAAATTATTTCAACTATTTTTCACATTATTTAGTATACCCCTTCTACCACACAAAGTCTGTGAATTTAGGCATTAGTATCTTCATTTTTTCAAATATTTAAAGTAGTATTTAGAGATGTAAGCAATAACCTTCTCATATAATGTTAGTGTTGAAATCATATTTTGATCCCGTGTAGCTGCTTCAAATTTCTAGTCATTTAAATACCCCAAATTTAGTAATTATTTGGCAAATGGCTTTCTATGTATATAATACCTCATTCAACTTAAATTGTGTAATTATTTTTCTTCTGTAAAAGATCAAGCCTACTTCAATTTTCAGACTAGTTTGAAGCATATGGAGATTAGAGAGGACGTTCACATTCTGTTCTTATAGACTGATTTTCATTACTGTAGATGACAACAGAGTCAAGCAACTGCAAGTCTATTCAACTGCAAAGGCCAGTGTGAGCACCAGAATAATTGTGATTTATGGCTGAAGTATGTCTTCCAATTTAATTAGGTAAAACAACAAAATTAAATGTTAATAATTGAGAATAAAGAAATCAAGCAACCCAAAATAAATAATTTTCCCTTTCTAGAAAGTTTGTCTAGCTTTTTAATGCCTAGGCTTTTCCTTGGGAATTTTTATTTATGGCTCAAACTTTTAGAGTCTCTCTTTTTCTCTTTACACAACCTCAAATCTGGCAGTTTGTTTTTCTCTTCATGCAGTTTCCCAAGTATGCATAAACTCTAATTATATTTCCAACATCTATGTGACTTCTTCCTTTACCTGGGCTTGGAGAGAGAGGTCATGTTTTGTGTATGCTCTTCTGTCTGAGGCGACACTGATGTCACATCCTGCCCAGCATATTGATTTGATTAGTCATCTTGGGTTATTTATTTTTCAACTTTTGCTGTTCAAAAGCAAATCACAGTTTGTTGCAATTATTCACATTTAGGAACTTAAACTCAATTGTTACTTCATATAACTGTGGGTAGCATGAATACAATTGTGAAAGAGAGCCTGCCACAGAACAAAATGGAAATTCATTTCTATAGCTCTCTAAGGAACAAACGCTAACAATGACAAGTTGGGAACATGACAGGTGCACAGTAGCATTGGAGTTGGATGCCAAATGGGATCATAGGCATTCTCTGCTTCTTATCGTGCTTTAGAAATAAAAAGTGATCAGAAAAAACATACAAAAACCATCGTTATGATGCATTCATTTCCTCAAAAAGTGTTCACTGAGTTTATGTTTTATGACAGTGCTGCTAGCTACTGATGTGCTTTGGTGATGAAAACACAAAAGATTTTAGAATATGAAATTAAAATTGAGTTGATTATACAAACAATAGACCAACAAACTCAAACATACAGTGTGATGTTATGTAGTGATTACTATTCTATAGAAAAATAAAAGAGCAGAGAGATCATTGGATTAAACAAAGGAATTCAAAAGTACTCCAAACGACTTTTCTAACTTCCAGGGTATGCATGATAAAGATTGATTTTGTAACTAATGTGGCTTCATTCTATCAGTAAGAACTGTCCTAGTAATTTAGTTCCAAGCAAATATTTGATTAATTTTATCAGATTAGTGTGCTGAGAGTCTTTGATGCAGTAGTCACTGAGTGAGGCAGTAGAGATAGAATGATTCACCAGGTGCTATCACATCCCCAGGTGGATGACCAACTGTCCTGATGTGCCCAGGCCTTAGGGGATGCCCAACACACCCTGGAAATTGGAAAAGCCTTTTGGTGTACTTTCTGAATTCCTTTGTTTAATCCAGGTTTAAATCCAGGGGAAGAAAGCTGCCAGCAGGATCCCATGAGGTGTGTCCAGTAACAAGCCCTGAACAAGCTGACTTGGCTCTAAGTTTATGGGTTCCATCCTGGAGTTGTTTTGAAGAGAGACATTTTGATTCTTTCTTGCATCGACTATAGCTCAGAGTATTATAAAGATTGTTCTATGGTAGTTACTACAGTAATGATTTTGTTTCCAAAAATGGAAAGGTGGCATGTTGTTGGGCAATAGAAGAGAATAGTTACTTTTAGGATCCTGTGAATCTGGGACTTGAAGCTTTTAGGTCATGGGATATTGGAGTTTGAGTTTAGGATCTATTTCTATTGATGTCCAGCAGCTTTCCTTGTTAGACATGGGACCTTATTTAATGCACCAGAATTACATGAAGCATCACTCTATCGGTTACATTATAGCTGGGAAAATACTGTTCCTGTGGCTGCCAGGTGAATCTAAGATTAGTGACTGCCTTGGCCATTCTTGTTGACTTAACGAATGACACTGAGGCAAAACTAATACAGAAAGTTTATTTCGGCCAAGATTGAGGGCTTCAGCCCAGAAATACTTCCTTGGGAAGTACCCTGGAGAACAAGAAGAGACCCAAGTTTTTAAGGTAAAGAAAGAGAGGAATCAGGAGAGGAGACAAATTCTAAAGTTGTTTGTCAGTAAGTCTCATTGGTTTCAGAAACAACATTGATCAGTGATTGGTTATGCATTATTTAACTATAGGATATGTGGTATGGGCATTGATAGGTTAATTCATGGTTGGTTGCCACAAGTCAGTCTAGAGTCCCCATAGCACGTGGATTCAAGAGATGATTACCTAGCTCAAGAAAGAGTGAGATGTGACTGTGGCCACATTTCAGTGTCTCTCTGGGCCTGAAAATTTAAAGGCTACTTATTCCTCAGGTAAAAAGTTTCTTTTCTTTCTCATTCTAAAAGATAGGTTGCTGAAATTTATGGAGTTAAAAAGCATGTCATTTCTCAGGAACTAATAATCTAAGTGTAGCAAGTGTAGGGTCCTGAATTTATTTTGCAAATGTTATGAGTAGTGAACACTTCTTAAAACTCTTGGACTCGGGAAGGGGAACATCACACACCGGGGCCTATCATGGGGAGGGGGGAGGGGGGAGGGATTGCATTGGGAGTTATACCTGATGTAAATGACAAGTTGATGGGTGCTGACGAGTTGATGGGTGCAGCACACCAACATGGCACAAGTATACATATGTAACAAACGTGCACGTTATGCACATGTACCCTAGAACTTAAAGTATAATAATAATAAATAAATTTAAAAAAAAAAGGAAAAAAAAAAAACCTCTCATAGACAATCAGCAAGAGACCAATAGTAAACTGTCATAGACTCAGCTACCTCAATCTCAACAATATATAGGACAACTGTAAACAGAATTCAGAGAGTTCTATGTGTTCAGCACATAGTAGGTCCTTAGTAACTGTCACTGTCCTTTGCCCATTCCTGTGTTAACCATGGAGAGGCCTCAGGCTCGGAGAAGTTTACTTTATTAATGCCACATTGTTTGAGAGCTGCACATAGTGTAACTCTAACAAATTCATGTTATCTTCTTTTACATTTTTAGTTGACTCTTCTTTTTCAATTTGTGATGGAACCGTCTATTCCATGTGCAGCAGAGCATTTCCTAATGATAGGAAAGCAACATTTCTAAAGTAGCTTTCTAGGATAAAGCCAACCCAAATCAACTCAATTCAATTATATTACTATGACTCACCTTGTCTGAAGTTCTTCAATTTGTATATTGGGAGAAAAAGCAGTTTTATGGCCGGGCATGGTGGCTCACATCTGTAAGCCCAGCACTTTGGGAGGCCAAGGTGAGCGGATCATGAGGTCAGGAGTTCAGGACCAGCCTGGCCAATATGGTGACACCCCATCTCTACTAAAAACACAAAAATTAGTCAGGCGTGGTGGCACGTGCCTGTAATCCCAGCTACTTGGGAGACTGAGGCAGAACACAATTGAACCTGGGGGGGTGGAGGTTGCAGTGAGTCGAGACTGTGACCCTGCACTCTAGCCTGGGTGACACAGCAAGACTCCATCTCAAAAAAAAAAAAAAAAAAAAAGCAGCAGCTTACAGTGACATCATTATTTAAAGCATGTAGGCATGAAACTATATTCTGATAGTATATCAGGCTATCAATAAGATTATGTCGCTGATCAATAGGCCCTGCATTAAACCAAAACTCTTTCTGAAGTGAGAATCTCTTATCTGCTGAAATTCATGAGAAAGAAATACTAGGTAACATTTTATAATATTCATTCCTTACAGCTCCCACAGCTAGTCATTGTCTTTACAGTGAAATTGGAAAACTTCACCAGCTCTTGTGAAATATTATCCTGTTTGCATATGTAGTGCTTAGATAAAACCTCTTCCTTTCCTCTTACCTTGTTTAAGTGAAAACAGAATCAGGCATTTTACACTTAATTCCCTCAGATTCTACCGTTGGAAGACAGAAGGATGAATGGCTATATTTTATATGCAGAACCTTAAGTCACTAACCCTTAGATATTCCTCATTCTCCTCTAATTGATCTCCAGTGTCCAAGTTCCATGGGGGCTAAAACCTTGGTCACTTCACTTTACTTTGGCTGATTTGAGGATCATCTCAAATTCTGAACTTAAAGCAAATCAACGAACCCAATCAACTTTGCTGCATTCAGCTGCTACCCAGAATCAGACTAAAGAGGGGTGTATTTATGCAGCCAACAGACACATGAAACAATGTTCTTCATCACTAGCCATCAGAGAAATGCAATTCAAAACCATCTCACACCAGTTAGAATGGCAATCATTAAAAAGTCAGGAAACAACAGGTGCTGGAGAGGATATGGAGAAATAGGAACACTTTTATATTGTTGGTGGGACTGTAAACTAGTTCAACCATTGTGGAAGATAGTGTGGCGATTCCTCAAGGATCTAGAACTAGAAATACCATTTGACCCAGCCATCCCATTACTGGGTATATACCCAAAGGATTATACATCATGCTGCTATAAAGACACATGCACACGTATGTTTACTGTGGCATTATTCACAATAGCAAAGACTTGGAACCAACCCAAATGTCCATCAATGACAGACTGGATTAAGAAAATGTGGCACATATACACCATGGAATACTATGCAGCCATAAAAAAGGATGAGTTCATGTCCTTTGTAGGGACATGGATGCAACTGGAAACCATCATTCTCAGCAAACTATCACAAGAACAGAAAACCAAACACCACATGTTCTCACTCATGGGTGGGAACTGAACAATGAGAACATTTGCACACAGGAAGGAGAACATCACACACTGGGGCCTGTCGTGGGGTGGGGGGAGGGGGGAGGGATAGCATTAGGAGATATACCTAACGTAAATGACGAGTTAATGGGTGCAGCACACCAACATGGCACATGTATACATATGTAACAAACCTGCGCGTTGTGCACATGTACCCTAGAACATAAAGTATAATACAAAAAAAGAGGGGTATATTTAATATTCCAGTATGTGATTTCAAAGCTATAGAATATGTTAAATTTTGTTTATGGAAATTCTCTCATTATATAAGTTAGAGAACTCAGGATTTTAAAAGTACAGGAACCACTTACAAGAACTCGACTCAGTAATAGCAGAACTAGTCCCAGGGGCAGTTTCTTGTCTACTGTCTAGTGAGTTTCCGGGGTGAATGACTGATTATTGTGATTAATTAAATTATGCTATGATAAAACACTCTCTTCTACTTGTTAGATGGGGGTAGATAACTGATACCTGAAAATATTTATCCATTCAGCTATTCTACTAAAGTGAAAGTTGACTCTTAGAGATACTGTGACAAAATGAGCATTTAGAGTCAGAGAGAATAGTCTAGTCTGACAGGTATGCCACTAATTAGGAAGCTAAATTGGGAAACTTACGTAAGATTTCAGCCTGTTACCAAATGGACTAATTTTACAAGTGGACTAATTTGAGGGACATTCTATAATTAAATAGAATGATGTATGCCAAGTGTTTACATAGTGTCTGTTGCAGAGGAAAGGCTCAATAAACTTTTGAATATCTTATCCACTTTAATCCATACATTGGTTAACTAGAAAAGTGCATATTTAGGTGTTCTATTGTTCTCTTTTTTTAATCTTTGAAGACACTAATTGTGCTATATTTTATGTCAGAAATTAGAAATAATCAGTACTTTGGGAGGCCGAGGTGGGCTGATCACGAGGTTAGGAGAATGAGACCATCCTGGCTAACACGGTGAAACCCAGTCTCTACTAAAAACACAAACAATTAGCTGGGCATGGTGGCAGGCGCCTGTGGTCACAGCTACTCGGGAGGCTGAGGCAGGAGAATTGCTTTAACCTGGGAGGTGGAGCTTGCAATGAGCCGAGATGGCGCCACTGCATTCCAGCCTGGGCGACAGAGCGAGACTCCATCTCAAAAAAAAAAAAAAAAAAGAAATCAGTACTATATAATTAATGTGCACATTCTTTTTTTTCCTTTAATTTTTAGAATTATTGTGGTTATCTAATGGTTGCATATATTCATGAGGTACATGTGATGTTTCAATATAGGCATACAATGTGTAATCAGCAAATCAGGGTATTTGGGGTATCTATTACCTCAAGCATTTATTACCTTTTTCTGTTAGAAACATTCCAATTCCACTCTTAGTTATGTTGAAATATACAATAAATTATTGTTAACTATAGTCATTCTATTGTGCTACTACATTCTAAATCTTATTCATCCTAACTGTATTTTTGAACCCATTAACCATCTTCTGCTTATTCCCCACTCTACTCTACCGAGCCTCTGGTAATAGTCATTCTAGTATATTTATTATTTTTTAATTTTCAATTTTAGCTCCCACATATGAGTAAGAATGCTCAAAGTTTGTCTTTCTGTGCCTGGCTTATTTCACGTAATATAATGGATAACGAAAATTTAGTAGATACACAGAATAGAACACTATTCAACCATAAAAACAAAAGAATGAAATAGTTTCGTTTGCAACAACATGAAGGGAACTGGGACTAAAGTAATGCCGGATTCTTGAATTATCTTGGCACCCTTTGTCCTAGGAGAAGACGATGAGATAAGACTCAATAAATACTAGATGCAAATACGACGAAGTATAAAACTGGACGAAGCTATTCGAGTGCTTTAAATAAGAAGAGTGGATCAGTTATGATCACATCTAGATTTTTTATTGCTCTTGTTAGTCTTTGATTGGTAACTTCTATGTTTTTCCCTGCTGCAATGTGGTGCTGTTTGCATTTACCTGGCAAAACTCAAACCCAGGCAAACCCTATTCTCAGCCTGTTACCATCCCTGTAAGATCCACACACAGCAGTGAATCGTGACTAGAGGAAAGCTCAATACACGATGATGCATCTCACCTCAAATTTATGACAACACATCTCAGATTTATGAACACAAATCTCACGGCCCTTTTGCCACGTCACAGTATGTTCTTGTTCTCTGCAGACTTTCTCTAAAAACTAGTGATCCATGACTCCTCCTGCTTTCCCCAAACCTCACCCCACTTCCACATCTCTTAGACTCCTCTGGGAAAAATAAACAAACCTGTCAATAAAACAGTCAATCAGATTTCAAATTTTTCTTCCATGAACTGTATCAGCCTCCCTCATTCTGTTCCATATACTCAGCCTTGTTTCCTATGACAGTGTATGAAGTGACCATGCTCCTGTCTAAACCCACCCTCTACTTTTGCACAAG